TGAGCATGGGAGACGGAAACCCTCCACTCTTTGTTGAGGAGTTGTCTGACTTGATGAGAAAGTAAACCATGTCGGTGGCTCGTATCCTCGTTGTCCTTCATGATGCTGATGGCGGTTATTGAATCCACCTTCAGTTGCACTCTTCTGTATCCCAAGTTTCAGACAGCCTTGAGACCCTCGACTGCTCCTTTCAGCTCAGCGGCCGTGATTGAGCATTTGCCGAGGTTGCACACGAAGGCAGCAAGGCATCTGCCAAGGTTGTCCCTAATTAGTCCTCCACCCGAGGCTTCCCATGAGGGGGAGAGGACATATCCGTTTTTCTGAATCTGTACACATCCCTCAAGTGGCGGCTCCCAAGCCAGATCAATCGCCATTCTCATGCAAGTACCAGAATTCAAACACCTTGCAACATTCTGCTGGGCATTCTTTAAGATGCGGAACCACGCCTCAATCTTGCAAGAGAGCGAGACTTCCGAATAACCTTTCATGTCCATGCATTCTTTGTTGCGCTGCTTCCACAAATGCCAACAAACCAGTCCAAAATCCACTCCTTTGTCAACATTGCAGAGGTTGTTAATCATCCACTCGTTGAAATCGGTGCCCTGTTTGCTGTCTGTTACACAGTGTCTGAAGTTCCTCCAGATTCCCTTGGTCTTTTGACAATTATGCAAGATATGCTATGATGATTCCTCAACGTTTGGGCAGTGACTGCAGTTCCCATTAGTCGTAAGTTTCCTCTTCACTCTCTCCTTGTTGTGTGACTTTTCAGCTCCTTGATGAGTCGTTTCTTCCTCCTAAAAATGTTCCCAAAAACTTCATTGTTCCATTTCTGCAGCCTGGTATCCAAGTCCTGCAATGATAAAGGAAAGCTCTTTGTATTATTCCAAACAGAGAGAACAAAGGGATAAAATCATTGTGGGCCAGCCACGGTGTGAGAAACTGGGAGCAAAGCACCATGTTCTGCTTAATAGGAGCAACTTCATTGCAATCGAGACCGAACGATGGTCTGACTTGACTTTGATGAGATGGTGCGTGGAGGACTAGGGAAATCGTTGCTGCCATTCCAGGTTGCAAAGTCCCATGTCCAGCCTTTCCTTGACAGGCTCGACCATGGGCCTGTGTTGGTCGGCCTGCCAGCACAGGGCCCCATAATTTGAAGGGCCTCCATAGAATACAAAAATGCTAAGCACTAGTTATCAATAAATGGACTGAATTATAGGCCCCTTATGATATTGCTTTTTTTATTTAATCCATATTGGCCACGAAAATACTGCATGGGTCAACGGTTAAAAAAGAATAAAATTAATAATTCTTAGATGGACATGACAATGTGGCCCATTTCTTATTGATCCACTCTACCCCTCCTTTCTTTTTCTTTGGCCGAGTCCTCCACTGTATGCAAACAATTAAAACAAAATCATCCAGTAATTGTAAAAAAGGAATTTTCATCAACCACAAAACAAAATCGCCCACCAAGAGTTTTTTCCAATGAAACTTTATCTATAAAAAATTGCCCACCAAGAGTTTTTCCAATGAAACTTTTCAACCAAATGCTATTTTGAATTCTGTTGTCCTTTTGTCTTGTTTTGCTGTCTTCGTTGGGATTTCCCCTGTGGTTTTGTGTTGTTGCGTTTGAGTAGGAGCGGTTTAGTCCACTTTTTCCCCCAGTTTTTTCTCTTTCTTGTGGGATCAATCATTTTGATTCCCTTTTACTGTATTTTTTTAGGTTTTGTTTTGTTTCCTCTTGCAATATAATTTCATCACCATTAAAAAAAAAATGTTCATTACTTTCCTAATACCACAATATAGTATATAGAATCTTGTTAATTTTTAAACAATGATAAATGATATTATTACTTTTGTAAACGTTTTTTGAATTTTTATATTTTTAGCAATATTTAATAATTTTTATTTTCAATAAATTTGCAAAAAATATTTTAAGGGCCAAATTTTGAATTTTCGAACAGGGTCTCCAAATATTATGGGCCGGCCCTGTTCCTTGATCTTGGATCCACTTGTGAACCAAGTAAACCTAGGCCCGGTGAAGCCTAGGTCGATGAGTCTACAATCATCGATACACTCCTTGAACGCTTTTGGTTTTGGCAAACCGGAAAGGAGCTCCTCCTTGCTCCTCATTAGCACCGATGATGGAGTTGAAATCCCCTACGATCAGCCATGAAGTTGAGATTCTTCTGTTGATGCTTCTCAAAGACTCCCAAAGCTCCCTTCTTGTGTATTCATAGGGCTTGCATAAACAATAGAGACATGACAAACTTCCTTACTAGGCAAGGTGCATCTAACGTGAATGAATTAACGTTCATTTTCAAGCTCCACCAGCGAGACCTTGTCTTTGTTCCATAGCACCCAAATCCCCCCGCTGTAACCACTAGCCTCTGATATGATCTAGGAGTCATATCCCAAGGATTTGTACACTAACTCAGCCTCTCTTCCACTGATCCTTGGCTCAAGTATACACACAATGTCAGGGTTGTGGGCAACTTTATACATCTCAAGTGACGACTTAAATTTGTGGTGCTTTTCACCATGACAATTCCAGGAGAAAACTTAACCATAAAAATAAATGGAAGGGCGGAAGGTTCTCCAAACGACCCAAGGGTCGCAAATCAGGGTTGATCGACGACCATGGCCGTCTCCTCCACTCCTTTCGAGTTGCTAGCAGCAGCTGTCTAGGACTGGTTTGCATTTTCTTGCATGAATATACCCGCTCCAAGACTTGTGTTGAAGTCAATTTTGCAGGATAGAATAGTCACATTATCCGGGGGAGAATTATGCTTCATCTTGGGAGACTTGAAGGCATCCTTAGATGTTTGTTCCTTCATCTTAGGGTGATGGCCAACTCTGGTGCCACCAGTCATCTCCTTACCTCCCCCTTTTCTAGATTTTGTGGGGCTCTTAGGTTTGGAGTTGCCAAGCTGCTTACCAAGAGTGGACTTAGCACCCTCACTGTCTGGTTCCGGCCTTTTCTCTCCGGAGCTGCCAATTGGGGTGGGCGAGCTGGCCCCCATCTTCTTCGTTGAGGTTCCCTCTTTTGCTTTAGAGGAATTCGTTTCCAGCAAAACCTTCTGATGATCCTTCCTATTTCTCTTTTCGGTTGCACTTTTAACTTTCCTTTGCTGGTCTTCCTTTTTTTTATTATTAATAATGCCATTATCTGTTGCAGGAGGCTCGCTGGACACAGTATCATTGCTGAGTCCTCCATTCGGTTGCTCAAACTCCCTACCGCTCTTGCTAGGCTGATTGTGGAGGTCCTCCGCTGTTCCATCAGGAGCTCCCTCCTTGTCCTGTCCCAAAACATTGAAGCGCAAACCATTGGCAAGGGCCTCAGTCTTCTTCTTATCCTCTCTAGTCTGGGCACGCTGTGGTTGCTTCCTTCTCTTAGTCCGAGTGGCAATCGTTCAGGGGTCGTAGTCCTCCAAAACCTCTGGTCGTATTACCACCTCAGTCGAGTTCATGTAGCTGCCATCCATCGTTGTACGTTCTGGGGGGTGTTCTGGGTAGGTTTTTTCGCAGGGTAATTCTCTTCTTGATGGCCGTAGTGTCCACACTCAAAACATATCAGGTGGAGTCCTTCATACTCCACCCTCCTGACCCTCCTCTTGATTCGATACTTAGAAACCAGCTTTTCCCTTAAATCAACCTCAACGCATATTCTGGCATAGTTACCTCGAAACCCGTTAGAGGTGTTGTAGTCGATCTTGATCACCCTGCCCAGCTTGCTTTTGATGTCTTCGAGGATTTCCTCATCGAAATATGCGAGTGAGAGTCGGGGGAGGCGCACCCAAAATGCGGTTTTGAAGATAAGATCAAAATCCGGATCAAAATCGAGCCTCCACGGCTCGGAAACAACATAGTGATCGCCAATCGTCCACGGCCCTCCGTAGAGTGCTCTGTTGTAATCCAGTTGTGAATCGAACATAGCTTGAAAATATTTTTTCCCAATATCGCCCATCTTGACGCCACCGGTCTTTGCCCACATGCTGAGGATTCTTCGTTGAACAAAGGCGAAGGGGAGGGTCTTACCCAGAATCCAGAATGTGATTGCTCTGCCCCAATGGCGACGCACCCTGGCATCGGTCTTCTTTTTTATCTTAATCATCGGGCAGAAGGGGTTGTCCTTGGCATCTTCCCCTTCCGACTCATCGGACATTAGAGCATCCCCGAAATCTTCCTCCTCTTCCGGTGGGGGGGCCATTTCCAAGAAAGGAGTCCTTGTAAGAGGTCCTGGGGTTTTCTAATTTCTGCTGGCCGTAACTGCTACACGATTTCTCATTCCACCATCTTCAGATGTAGTCACATCCACATCCACATCTTGGATTCTGGCAGTAACTATGGCCACCTCCATGTCTTACTGGCCGGAGAAGCCATCAGTGGCGGTCGATTTAGCCTTCTTGCTCGGTTGGATGGGTGAAGACGTAGGGGAGCCGTCCAGAGGTTGTGGAGGTGTTCCTCCGCCTCCTGCGGAGGCATCCCAACGGTCGAAACGTGCGGAGAAACAAAGTAGGAGAGAGGTTAGAGCAAAAGTCTCTCTCTAACTTTACCTTCTCTCTCTAGCTGACCAATTCCTTTAATTGCTCTTTTTTCTTCCAACATTAATTAAGTCAAATAATTCGTACGCCGTCAAAAGCGGCAGGACTCATAAATAAATTAATGGTGTTGATAGATTAGAAGGCATATTGAAAAAGTCTCGCCAGTAACAATGAGATTTCTAACTTTGATTGGGAGGTAGGCAGGAATGTCTTCCATCGTTAATCTCCAACCCTTGCCAAGGCATTTCGATCTTGTTCTTTTTTTCTTTCTTGCAACCCCCAAACTCATTAGAAACTAATCGACCCTAAATCTCTCTCTCCCTCCATTCCTCTCTATAGATTCCTCTTTATAATAATTTATAAGTTGTAAACACAATCGAACGAAAGGAAAAGAGGCGCAGGTAGGGAGGTCGGTACACATTAATCTGTTGTAATTAAGCAACTGATACAAAGATGGAAGATTCGTCGTCATCATCAGCTTCAACGGCAAGGTTAAAGAGCTCGTGCTCTTCGTCGTTCCGGCTGAGGTCCCCAAGCCTTAACTCTCTTCGTCTCCGCCGCATATTTGACATGTTCGACAAAAATGGGGATGAGATAATAACAGTGCATGACTTGAGTCAGGCATTGACTCTGTTGGGCCTGGACGCTGACTTCTCGGAGCTAGAGTCCACGATCCAGGCCCACATCAAGTCGGGTAACGACGGCCTTGAATTCGAGGACTTCGTCTCCCTCCACCAGTCACTAGACGATGCCCTCTTCGGCGGCGGCGGGCAGCAACTGCAACAGCAGGACCATGACCAGTCTGCCCACGAGATATCACAAGAGGAGTCTGATCTCTCCGAGGCCTTCAAGGTGTTTGACGAAGACGGTGATGGCTACATCTCGGCCCACGAGCTGCAGGTGGTGTTGCGAAAGTTGGGCTTGCCGGAGGCAACCGAGATTGACAGGGTGGAGCAAATGATTTTCTCTGTGGATCGCAATCAGGACGGTCAGGTCGACTTCTTTGAATTTAAAGACATGATGCGTTCCGTACTCATCTCTACCTCTTAAATCTTTATTATTCCATCCATACATGCTAAAAATTCAGTCCTTTTTTTCTTTCGTTATATCCCATGAATGCGTGTACGTACGGTACATGATGTACCTCATCTTCATCATTTTTATCACGAGGTCGATCATCATCAGTTCAAAGTAGATTTTCCAATCGATCAATACCCATGAGCCATGACCATCACTCATCATCATTTTCATAATTGGTCATTCCAATTAATAATATACTTTTTCTCTTAATTGAATTACTTGATTTTATTTCCATAGTTCAATCAGCCGAATAGGGTTTCCCCCATTATCTTTCAATTTCTTCCTCCCTCCTCCATAATAGAATTTTTCCAGCTCGCTGGACAATATACATCTTCTGTCTCGATACAACTAGCTTCAATACATCTTCTCTTATTATTGATACTAATCAACTGGTGCATTTGGATAATTTGATGGTTGTGTGACTGGGACTCAGTCACACTCAAAATAATTTACTCAAAATAATTTGATGTCATTTACATAACCACCACATTGTAATGTTATAGCTTAATTGTTAAAAAGATTTTCATATAAAGTGCTCCAAGCCCACCGTCCAAATAAAAAGCTCAATTTGGTTTATATGTTAGAATATTGTGTATATAGTTTTAGAATTTTTGTAATATAGTTATTTTTAAAATGAAGTTGCATTCTATTGGTCTACGAAAGTTTGAACTTCTCAAATGATCTTTCAATACTATACTCAGCCAACAATTTTATGTTTTCTACGAAAGAAAGCATTTATTTTAGTTACTGTACTCAACTATTAGTCCATGAATTGGATGCCGGCCCAACCTCTCATTGATCATAGACATATGCTCCAGACTCTCATTGTTTATCGTGGTTAGTCATGATATTTTAATTCTCTAATATTGATTTATTCAAGTGTTTGTAACATATCATATCGACGGCCCAATCGAGAAAACCTCCTACCCGAGCCTAAACCGATGGACGATTGAGTTGGCCTTTTTCGATAGAAATTCCGATACGATTTTACAGACTTTTATTTATTCCTTTGATTGAGGGTGGCTACGTTTTTTTTCCCCAATTAAAATTGCGGTCTATGTCTCAATAGACATATTTAGGTAAGCATTTTCCCACAATTTTGGCACTTTTTTGTCTTTTTGTGAGCCAAATTTGGCTCCCGAACTCTCAAAATTCCACACTTCCACTCTTTAGCACTTGCCATTATGCCCAATAGTGCCAAATTTTGGCACTTTGACTCTGCCATTGTAGATGGTCTTAGCACCTAAGAATGTTTTCTTTTATCTTAACAGGGAAAGGGAATATGCCACAACTGTAAAATAATTTTACACGAAAATTTTAAAAATAAAATCTAATTACATGATAATAATTCGAATGTATATAAGCCCATAACCGGTTATAAAACGAGGAAAAAGAACTGCAATGGTTTCATTGGAGAATCTAATAGTTTCATTGGGGAAAAAATATCCACTAATTACAGATATATAACCCGAATAATTCTCACTAACTAGCCAAACTAATACCTCCTAACAGAAATAATCAAATAAATCCAAATTTGTCCAAAAACCACAAATAATATCCAAAATCACCCAAACACAAATAAAATCGACAAACAAATCCATAAACCAAAATCGCTCCAAAAGTGGGTTTATAACAAGTTCATAACAATATTTTTCAGATTTAACAATAAGAAATATAATAAATCCAAATCTCATCTCTGTCTCGTTCTTCTCCATTTGTCCCAAATCACTAATTTTTTCTCTTCTCAATCTCTAATCCTTAATGGGAATTCTTGTCAGATGTATTCTTCATCAAAACTAAACATAAATTATTGATATGTCTATTTTCTTCTAGTACATTTATTTTAGATAATTTTCTATCTAATGATCACGTTCAAGAATACGACAATAGTAAAAAAAGTAGTGGGGTTAATGAATTTTAAATTAGATTATCATGCCAATAACTTGTAGATAACCACTTCATTTCCTAGGTAGAATTATAGGGGACAAAATGGTGAGGTTTGGGACTAAATTTCATGATGCATTGTCCAATGAATAATAAATATTGCTTGAGATAATTACTAAATTTATTGATTGAGTAGTGAAAAATTAGTGTATAGTACATCGTATACCTATAAAATTAAAATCGCGTACACACAAGATACAAATGTACATTTTACGGGGAATAGTAACAATAAAATAAGAAAGCGGATATGGTACAAAATCCTTCCCTGCAAAACGCTGTCATATCATGGTATCATCATTGAAAGAAAGAAACCCGCCGCATGCCCGTGTACTGTACACACAGACACCTTTTACTGTACAACGTGACTGAGATTTACTGTTTCAAACTGGCGTGTCCTTCGGTGTGGGCTGGGGTTGGGTGAGGCCTCATTGGGATCTGGCGGGGTTTGGGGGCTCGATCGGGGTGGGACTGGTCGTTGGCTTCTGGTTGGCCTTAGTTGCGGTCGTTTGGTGACCCCGGCGCGCGTTGATCATCAGAGATCGATATTTTACTTTGGCCCGAGCGGGCACGCGGATCGAGGGTTTTCGGTTACTCTCTGGGTGTTCTGCTGGGTAGGGATCGTTGAGTGGTGGGAGATCTGGCGGGTTTAGGAGAGACTGTGGTGGGAGATGGGATAGCTCAGAGATGGTGGGCCATGAGAGGAACTGAAAAGTTGATTGAAAGGACTTGTGTTGCTCAGTATCTCTGCATTGGGGTCGTTTGGTGGCTCTGACGCGCGTTCGTCATCAGAGATCTATATGCTGCTTTGGCCCAGGCGGGTGCGTGGACCGAGGCTTATTCAGTTGCTTTGGGTGTTCTGCTGGGGAGGGATCATTAAGCGGTGGGAGATCTGGCGGGTTTTGTGGATGTGTGGATGAGAGTGACATGCCTGGACATTGGAGAGGTGGGTCGTTCGAGAAATAGAAGAGGGTTTCCTGGATACAGAGAGATACCTTGACATGCTTTTTCTCTACTGTATGAAAAGACCGGGTTTTGTTGTCTCTGGGAGGCCTTGGAAAGTCCTTGCGTTGTTCAACGCTGAGATAGGCTATTACTGTTTTGTGCAGGCTAAGGCATTAATTAATTGAGAGGATCTGTTTCTTTTCTTTTTCTTCAGCTTGGTGCTTTAAGAAAACTTTGCTTCTCTTTGGCATGTTACTCTCTCGCCTTTTGTTATTCACCTCTCCCGTTGCTCTCTCTCTCTCTCTCTCCCTCGGTGTCCTCTCTGCGTTTGGAATTTTCATCTCTCTTCTTGGAAGAAGGGTGGAATTGAAAGCCACGAAGAAGAAGGTTTGAGAGATCTGGAGGAGATCCAGACCCACCGTGGGACAGTTCAGAGGTCTGGAGAAGATCCAGTTTTGCAGGTTTTGTATTCGTCCCAGGTGATTTATCTGTCTCTCTATGTTGAGTTTGCTTTTATCTTTTTGCAAGTCTCTGAATCGTTTGGATCCTGTGCTTCTGTTTGTAATTGCAGGTGGTTGAAAGGCTGTTTTGTGTTCAGTTTGCTAACCATAGTATTTGCCAGTAACCTTTGTTGATCACCATCAAAGTTAAGATGCTCATTAATCAAGGGATTTGATCCGTTGTCAGGAATCTCCGATTTATCGATATATAATCACATCTTTCTTTCATCTTTTTGTTTGAGGGATTGTTGGTGATTTACGGAATCTTAAATCGAGGATTGTTTTATGAGTTGTGTGGATGATAGACCGTTATTTACACATGTTTTTACCCCTGTTCTTACACCGTTTGAGATGTGATTTCTCGTGTTTTAGGCCGATTTCACGCTAGGTTGTGCTTGTTTGTCATATTTCAAGTCCTAGTACGTGAATGGAGGCTTGGGAGCGAGTTTGGGGTCGATTGTACAAGAATCGGACGCGTGGCGAGGTGCTAAGGAAGCTGCACGGGCATTCCTGGAAACCACACGGCCGTGCAACTCACAATTGTGGCCGTGTGGTATTTGTCGAGAGCATGCACGGGCAGGATGGAGACCTCGCACGGTCGTGCGGCCCTGGCCGTGTGGGAAGCCTAAGTTCGAACTAATTGGAACGCAGCGTTTTGACTCGCACGGGCAATGGGTGAGCCACACGGCCGTGTGGCCTGCCCGTGCGAGTCGGGAAATCTTGGATTTTCAGCCAATTTCGAGCCACAAGGGGGAGGATCGGACTTTTTGAGCAAAAACAAAGCCCTAGAGAGAGAAAGTACGAAGAACACATCCTAGAAGCTATCTTGGAGCTGGGTTTCATCGAATCGAGCTTGGAGATCGTCCTAGGAGTGGAAATCATCATCCCGGAGCAGATTTTCCTCATCTTTATGAGTATGACTACTCCGATTACTGTTTTCTTCTCTCTCTCTATGGAGTAGAACCTCTCTCTCACTTGGGGATGAAGAACCCTAGTTCTATGTGTTAGGGATTGATTGTAATGACTTGGGATGATATTACTGTTTGATTTTAATCGAATGATGCATGTTTATTGAGTCAATTGAAGTCTGATCAACTTTTCCTGATTCCTGCTGCAATCTGAGATAGATAGAATCTGATTAGGTTGCTAGAGTCTCATCATTCGATATTAGGAGATTGGCTATACGAGAGTTAGCCAGTTTACTGCTTTGTACTGGAATTCAATTCCAGTAGTGGAGTTCTGTTCTTACTGCTTCAGCTTTCTATCCCGGTGAAGACTAGTCGTCTGCCGGGTAGATAGACTGAGAGGGCTTGGTCAGCTTAAGAGATTCCAAGCTACTGTCGGATCTTCCGCAGTCTAATCAACAGTGAATCAACCCAGGGAAATTGCAATTGAAACCTAACTAAGGAGCTAGGGGGATTCATTCCCGAGTGACTCTTTCCTGCTTGAGAAAATCGAATAATTTCCTGCTTTATTTCTGCTTTGCTTTTAAACAACAATCACTTACTTTAGTTGGCTAGATAACAGAGAATCACTGAGTAAGCAGTAGATCTAGACCCCGTGTTGATAATATAACTTGCCTGTTACTGCATTCCCGGTCTGCGATTACACTTGGTCGCAGATTGGTGTTGTGTTTTGGCGTGTCAGTGGATCTGATAGGTTTTTTGTCATTTCGATGAGGATGAAGGGGTTGATTGGATGAGGATTGAGGAGCCAGCCATCTGCTGTTTCCCTGCACCAGTGAGGATGAAGAATGCGTCGTCTATTTGCGCCTACTTCTGACCAGTATAGGATACTGGCTGTACAGATCGGCAAGTTTTCATGAAGTCTTATACTAAAGGTCGCGTCCACTCCCTGTCTTTCCCTCTATTTTTTTCTTCTTCTTTTGCGTTTTAGGTTTGTTGTGAATTGTGATCAATGTTGTTATGTTACCACCTTTGTGGGTTTCTACGGTTTTTTTGAGTTTGTGCCGGATTTTCTGCGTGGTGCTTTGCAAAGTTGAGCACGTTGCCCGCGGAGTTCCGATCCTTTCCTCCTCTTTTTCTGGCTGTATTTTCTCGCATGCCTTCATCTCTCTCTGGGCTTCTTATACGAGACAGGGATCTGACTCGACACTCCTTGAGAAGAAATGGAAGGTCAGTTCTTGGTGGTGGTCTCGAGACGAAAGAGGACTCAGAGGAGAAAGGGATTTGGCTCGACTCTCCTTGAGAAAGAAATGGAAGGTCAGTTGTTGGTGGTGGTCTCGAGACGAGGGAGAACTCAGAGTAGAGAAGTGGCTTCAGTTCCTATCGTGCTTTTCTCAATGTTTCCTTTCAAATTTTTTGAGTGGAAATGGTTCTTGCTAATTTTTCGGGTGCGTTTGGAGCCCACGAGTGATTACGTTCTTTAGTAGGATTAGAATCCAGGTCTGGTTTGTTGTTCTAATCAGTGCTGATAGGTATATTGGTCATAGCCTTTGGTCTTCTTCCAACTCCATGTATCCTCTTATTTTTCTTTCTTGCACTACGTTGGCTGTTGGAGCTTGGAACACTTGGAATTCTCTTTATTGTTTGTATTTTAATAGGTTGTATGCTTTTAATGATTATTTTTCCCAAGAAAAGGGAAAAGATTAAAGGTGAAGATGGTGAGAATTGAGAGGCCCGTCCAAGTTTATTATGAAATGGGATTTGTCTGAAAAGTTTGAAGATTTGGAACAATAGTAACTATTTCACATCAGTGATACACTGATATTGCCATTGCAGAACTGAGTTTTATTTTTTGGTCTGATAAAATATCCGTCCTCATTTATATTGCCACGCATAACTTCCCTAGTTAACATGGTTGAATGAATCTTGATTTTGTTTAATTATTAACCGTGATTGTTTTGGTCAAATAGGGTGGGGAGCCTCGTTGTTGCTGACCTTGTCCATGGTTCTGATGGATTGAGGAACACATACTTGTCACCACCAAATGCAAAGAAAAGTGAGAAGAATGCTGCTGAATTTTTAGTTGACAAAACCTCTGAGTTCCCTGGGGAAGTATCTGTACTTGCAGTCTTTATAAAAAGGGCATCTCTTTGATCAGGCGATAAAAAGGGACTCCTTATTTGCTAGCAAAGTGAAGAAAATTGTAGTTCTTGGAGGAGCCTTCGTTGCTCTGGGAAATGTAAACCCTGCTGCTGAAGCCAATGTAAGTTACTGTCACTTGTCTTTCTGAAACCTTGTTGTTATCAAGTTATTAAGCATTTTCTCGATGCCTTGCAGATATATGGAGATCCAGAAGCAGCAGACGTTGTATTTACATCTGGGGCAGACATTGTTATAGTTGGAATTAATATTGCAACTAAGTTAAATTTATGGGTAGAAAACCAGAGATTCCATTCACTCTGCTTCATGTCTAGTATTCTTTCGCCAAATCGCAAGTCAAAAGCTATCAGTATTACTTATGTTCTATGTTTGTTTGCAGATGCCAACCATACTGAGTTGCGGGATTCGAAAGGGAAGTATGCTCAATTAATATGCAATATATGTGCAAGTTCTACAGAGATTGGCATGTAAATTCTGATGGAATGCATGGTAATAGTCCTCCAAATCTCTTCAACTAATTAGCGCCTGAGAATAGTTGACGTTCCATAGTAGAGTTCACATATAACATTATATATAACTCGGTTTCAGGAATTTTTCTGCACGATCCAGTGAGCTTTATGGCGGTAGTTCGGCCTGATCTCTTCACGTACCGGAAGGGCGTAGTGAGGGTGGAGACTCAGGGCATCTGCATTGGCCACACCCTAATGGACCAAGGCCTTAAAAGGTAGGCCAACTCTCTAGAATTTGAACCATAATCATTCCTTCCTCTTGGAAATTTCAGTCAGCATATTAAACACCCTTTGACTGGTGTGATTATGGTTTTAGGTGGAATACAAGCAACCATGGACTGGATAATCGCCTGTGGCAGTTGTTGCATTTCATCGATACCACTAGAATCAATTCACGCAACAGAGTGCAGTTCTCCATTTCTACCAGGTACTGTGACTTTTGTCCTCTTTTAGTGTGTGTATTCCTCTATTTGATCAAATTAATTCTATAGTAATCTAA